GCACTTTGTGAATCTCGATGTGCAGATTTCGTGGCAGGCGCAGCACTGTGTGAATCTAGATGTGCAGATTTCGTGGCAGGCGCAGCACTTGCTGAGTCTGGAAGTGGAGACTTCGTAGCAAGCGCAGCACTTTGTGAATCTCGATGCGCAGATTTCGTAGCAGGCGCAGCACTTTGTGAATCTCAATGTGCAGATTTCGTGGCAGGCGCAGTACTTTGTGAACCTCCATGTGCAGATTTCGTAGCAGGCGCGGTACATTGTGAACTTCGAAATGCTCCTATGTACTCGCCTATGTGCTCTCAGATTTGTGCTTGTATGTGCTCTCACATTTGTGCTCTCAGATGTGTGCTCTCATGTGCTCTCATATGTGCTCCCATATGCTCTCATATGTGTGCTCTCATTTGTGCTCGTGAATCTGCACTCTCACATTTGTGCTCTTGTATGTATCCTCTCATATTTGTGCTCTCATCTGTGTGCTCCTTCTTTCCTTCCACGTGATGCCATGTTCCATCTGTTCCTCTTTACACTATTTGGGGTCCCTTTGCCGGTGTAATTTGTTCCATGTCCCTTTCGTGCGCCTCCGAGGTGTGAACAGCTTCGGCGCCGCTTTGGCACCGCCGGGCTAGGAATTGGAACCATCAACATCACCCGATCCGCCCAAAACCAGGAAAAGAGTGGGCCTTGCCGGGGGTGGTGTTTGGAAGCATCAGGGTCTAGTCTTAGTTCATGTGCAAAAGAAGAGGCATTCCGAAGCAGCTTGATCATCAAATATACCCTGTATCCCGTGCTGGTCATCTCCCCGGAGAAGTACTGCGAGACAAGCCTGGATCCTGTTTGAGGAAAAACGTGGAAGAACTTTTGAAGATAAACATCTTGTACCCTTGTGCAAGCCACCTACTTAAACCACCTACCTAGTATTTGTAAAAAGAACGAGCCCCAAACCCAAACACAGGGATAATTATCCCGCTCCATCTCGCTGGACGCTGGTGAACACGTCACTTAGGACCAGCCATGCCTGAGTCCTGCTCTCTGTCATGCAACAAATGGGTTTTAAGACCGCCAGGCTCGATGGGGAAGACGTGGTCAACACCCAAGATACTACCCAAGATGGTGCTTGCATGTGTGTGTGTGTGTGTTCTTCTTGTGGCAGAACAGAGGTATCCTCTGATATTCTCAAATGATAAAGATGCACAATGATGCACACAGGACCCTTGAGAACAAACTACATGTGGCCTATGCATGCCACAATGTTGAACCACTCTTGCCTCTCCTACAATAGATTACAATAGTGCTTCCCTTCACTAGATCCAGCAGATCCAAGGCTAGCAGCTATAGCTTAGCTCTTCCAGAATCCAACCACTGTGAACCGTCCGCCTGCCCTGCAGTCTCCTGCTTGACCAAGTCAGTTTCCTCAAAACAGCTCTTTGTATGACTTGGTCTCTTCTGTGCACCCAACACACCTGTGCGCCGCCCAGCCAGCCCGAGAACTCATCTTCCTCACGGGCTCGTTTACCTCCCTCCCTCCCTCCCTCCGCCTGCATGGTGGACGCGTTCAGCGGCCGGCAATCAGGAATCGTCGCGTCGTCGTCGGAGATCCGCGCAAATTGCTGGATGTCCGAGTCGTGCTTATCCTGCACGGACCGACCAACCCGCGGCAGGACCGACCGTATGGACCGACCGTGGGTGGACCGGTCGATTTCGACCTGGTGAACCGTCAAGGTCGGCTCTTGAAGAAAGCTGAGCCGATCCGTAGACTGAGGGTGAGTCATGTGGGGAGAGTTTAGACCGATCTGCCTATGAGCCTAAGCAGGTGAAGGAACTGATGAAGTCCACCCATGATTGAAGATTCCAGGCTTTGGGGTGATGGCTTGCCGTTGAAGGAATGTCACAGGCTTCCTATATCTTCCTATCATCTCCAAATGTTTACCTCCAGTCAGTCATGTGTTTTGAAACACCACCATCCCAACTGAGCTTGATCATCTCAATATTTAAAAAAACAGGCGATTCTGCAGAGCGTCCATCTCAATCCGACCCACACGTTGCCATGGTCGTTTGCTTCCGTGCCGAGAAGCTGATCCAGCGACATAGGCTCCAGGCACATTCGACCTCCGGAGGGCCCGGAGGGGGGCGAGCAGCACTACTTTTTCATAGGGCCCCCTTGGAAGAGCCAGTTTCCTCTACAAAGGGTGGGTCTGCTCAGCTTGGGAGGCCACACCTTTTCGGGGATCTTTCCTTCTGAATTCTTCCGAAACCGGGAAGGAGGACTCCGGTGGGCCTGGTGGACCACCGTCTTCCACTCAGTTTGGCTTAGGGCAGCTGTCCCTGAAATCATCATGATTGCGTAGATGGCATGATATCATGGCTCCGAGTTCGGATGTCCATATATATGACCACGAAATCCGAATAGCAAACAAATGGTGTCATCAACGCCATCCGCTTCCATGGATGATTTCAAGGAGTGTGCAAATGTTCATATCGGACCCTACTGGTAGAAGAGGTCCGAGAACCAGCAGTCAAAGCTGGTGGATTCAAGCTACTCACTTCACGAGTTTTAGATTATTCCGCATCCAAACGACTATTTTATTTATAGTGGGCTTCATTGTCTTGACATTTTTGGAGCAACCTCCGACCATAGGTTAGCATACTGTCTTGACACCTGTGCAATGATCATACTCTGCTGACATGACACTCCCAGGGGGTGGGGGGGCAGGGGGGTGGGGGGCAACAGGGAGAGCTTTCAAAAGCACTGAACAATCTGTGTCTCTTCCCTTTAAGGGGGAAACCGGTGTTATGTCGGTCTACCTCTCTAGCTACCTACCTCTGCTAGCGGCCACGGGGGTTCACCGGTGCGCCGGATAGACGTGACAGGGTCCCCGTTGGGTCCTGCCACGGGGGGGGACCGGAAGAGACACAGAGACAGGGGGAAGACAGGAACTGAAGGAATTAGACCAGGAAAGCAGCCCTAAATCCGGGCCTTACCGGTAAGGCCCGGATTTCCACCTCCAGGGGCACCAGCAGAACAGGTTGTCTTGACACTTTGGGTATCTCTGTGTCTTTTTCATTCCTATATCTGGTGCCTATTTTCCAGGTTCCAGCCATAGTCTTGACATCTACACCCTCTTTGAACCAAGCTTTTGCTCGCTGTCTTGCCAGCCACAGAGACATGTTGACTCTTGCCCCCCCCACTGTCTTGTCATGAAATTTACCCCCCCCATCTGGGGGGGGCTATAGGAACCTACTATACCATGCATGTACCAATTGGGTCGTTTGGAGTTCCATCTCTTCTTCTCATGGGCGGCCCTGCCCACTGTGTGGTTGTGTTCTCCAGCCGTACAGGTCGGAAACCGAGAACATCCGGATCCAGCTGTACAGCTCTCGGGGTGCCACCGCCTATTACAGCTCTCGAACAGGACCGGGTGAGTTGAGTAGGATAACATGAGCCGAATCATAACCTCGTGAGGTGAGCTGAGCAGAAGGATCAATCGGAATTGGAACATCTCTGTAAAACATGGTGGACCATGCCTTTCGACAGAAGAAGTCTTCCAAGGGGCCCGGGGCCATGTCATGTTCTTCCAAGTTCTCCATATCGTGAATATGCTACACTCATGCATGTAATAGGGGTCTCTTGATTAAATCCCTCCCTGTCAAACGCCTCTCCTGGCACACAGAACACCTGGTCCACCGCGGCGCACCTGTAAGCCTTCAGCGAACGCCGCATAGGGCAACGCGGCGAATCGATCTGCCGGGTGCACGCCAGTCCTCCCAAAGTCACAGAGTTGGGGCGCCAAGCCCCACGAGCCGAGCCCGAAAAATTTTCTCTCTCCTGACGAGCCGGTGCTTTTTCTGATGATTTCTGTGATCAAGAGCTGTGCACCTTTGGAAGTGCTTTGTTTTCAGGTGGTGACCAGGTCCCAGATCCGGCACCGAACTGGACCCGGAAGCACCGTCTGAGGGGTCTGAGGGTCTGAGGGCGGGCGAAAGGCGAAAGCGTGCAGGGTGAGAAGAACAGGTCCTGTTTTGAAAGGGAGTGGTATGTGACATATGTGTTTGACAGGGAATGGTTTGTTTTGCATTGCAATCGAAACCATTGGACTCTTGAAAGCATGGAAACCGCCATTGGATTCGTGGGCAAAAATGCTCATCATGGGTTGGACCGCATCTGGGTTCTGTCCAGAAGCAGCTGTGGTATCTCTCAACCAGCCGTAGAAAGTCCGGAGCCACCAAACAACATAAAAACCAAGGAATTGTCCATGAAGTTGTGAGAAACATAGCTGAATTTAAACTACTCGTATATATAACTCTTTGGCTCTTTGCCAGTTCAGTTCGCTTGACAGTGACAGTAGTCTAGGGATGTCTAGGGCTTAGGGCATTTATGGGCATTTATAGATATCCAATGATTCACTACATCTAAATCGGACTCCTTGGTTCATGTATGATCACCAGTTCCCTACTTGGCAGTGAATTCGCACCCCTATCCTGGTGTGGCCATCCCACCTCTGAAAGGTGGGGATGAACTCCCAAGGACCAAACGCCGAACTCCCACGGATGTGCCCTCCTATGGGCAGCTGCAAGCGAATCAGCTTCTTTGCAGCATCCTTCTGCAGCAAATACATGCCTCGAATTGGGGGACATGTCAAACAAAAACAGGCCAAAACACGTGGGAGACTTGACTTCACAGCAGGACAGAAGTCAGAACCTGTCAGAACACATGCCAAAAAAGGATGTCAGAACACGTTCCAGAACAATTCCCAGCCTTAATGCTAGAATGTGTGTGTCAAACATACCAAACGTGATGCCAAAGCAAACGTACAGTGAGGAACTGTGCACATGTCAGGCAGCATCGGTGTCCAGAACTTGCTGGCGAACCATGACCGGCGAACAGTGAAAGAACAACAACAACTTTGGGCTTGGCCTTAGAGAGATCAAAGAAAGTTCCGGCAAAGTGAACAAGATCCTTTGCACTTGTCATCATTTTTCAGGATCGTAGAGATGAAATGAACAAGTGCCGTGCCGGTGCTCATTTTTCCAAGTTCATTCGAAGTGTGTGCCGGCGGCACACTTGCAAATGTCCAAGTTCATCCAAATGTCCGGCGGCACAACTCCTCCGAACCTCGGCTTGCTGCCCAAGTGCCGGTGCTGTGTCCTGATCCAGTGGTCCAACTCAAGGGGTTTGTCAGCCCTTCTTCGAAAGCAGCACGCTTCCCGTGCGGGTGTCGTCGATCGAAGTCCAGCTGCAGAATCTCCCACTCCTCGGAGTCACCTGCCCACTCGGCACAACGAACGGCTCATCATCCAAGGGTGCCACGAATCACGCAGACCATCCAAGGGGTAGTGCCAGGACACCCAAATGGTCGGATGGTGGTATCAGTCTTGGTGTCTTCGCACCTGTGACTTCCTAATACTCTTCGTGATATGTTCGAATTTATAGAACCCTCATTTTCTTCGTCTACCCGTCCACCCACCCCGTTCTCCTGCCCGGGGACGGCACCTCGCAGCGCCCTCTGCGCCAGCTTGCACAGAAACTCTGGGAGCCCGGGATGCAGCGCCTGCACGTCATCTTCCATGATCAGCGCAAAGGGAAAATCCTGCGCAACAACATAAAACAATACAAATACAACTGCAAAAATCAGCCAAACGAACACCAGAGACTCCAGCCGAGAATCAGAAGCTGTGATTGTGAACTTCTATGTCAAGCACTCATCGACAAGCTTCAGACTGCAACATATCATGGAGGGGTAACATTGACGTTCATCTACATGTATCAAGACATATCATTACGTAACTCTAGGGCTTGTGCCTATCTGCAGACACAGTCCCACAAAATAGTGGCATGACATGGCATGACATTGAAACCATGACTCCAACCATCTGAAATAGAACAATTCCACCGGATCCTTCTACTTTGATCAAACTCAAAGTGTCCGAACCAGAAAAGACTCTTGATCCAAGTATACATCCAAAATCAATCTGATCAAGTAGCCGCAAAAGGATGCAAAAAGGGAAGTCGGAGATACGAAAGACTCCCTCCAAGTACTTCGGTGCTTCTTTCTGTTTGGATCCGCTTGGAATGTCTGAAAATAGGAGCCGATCTGACCAGGGTTTTCCAAGTGGTTCCATCAGTTCTATCTATGTATAATATAATCTATCTAGAGATATTGTATCGAACAATCTAACTGGTCGTCTTCACATGATGTCACAAGCATCCTCTCCTGCTGCAAGATGTGCTCCCACATCATTGCATGCCCCAAGGTGCAGGCCACTGCACCCTTGCTCAAGCGCCCTTGGCCGATGGTGGGTCCCTTGTACTCTAAGGCGTCATGGAGGACCAGTGGTTGGATCAAGGCCTCTGGCAATGGCGCCTCAGTAGCGAGGCGCCGAGTCCCAGAAAGCCTACCATGTTTTTGTACGGTACACGCAGAGAGTATGGAAAACGAATCCAAACACATTTGGAAAAAGGACATCGACCAAAACCATACCCAAAACCTATTGAAGGTTCGCCACATGGATGACCCATATGGCTGTACGCGATTTCCATTTTGCACGCTGCTGAGGATCTAATTATGTTCACCTTACGCTAAGCTGAGGGTGACCATGGCATGCGACGCGTGCGAGAAACGCCAAAGACTTAAAAACCTATTGGTTGGGTGTCCCGGTATAAAAATTGACACCCGGCAGTTGGTGTATAAGAGATAAAAATTCGCCCAACATACAGAAGTACTCGTAGTCCTGTACTTGCAGATCCTTGGAGCCTATGACTGTTGATCTAGTTACATACTGCTTCATTCTAGCTAGCAGCTCATATATAGCTAGCAGTGGTAGGCCACGGACGCCCACAGCTTGGTCACCAGTCGCAGAAGAGGTGGTAGTCCAATGTGTTTCAACTAGTGACTGGTTAGAAACAAGAATGAACTCCGACGAACACATCACATGGAAGTGGAAACCACCCTGTTTCTAAAGGAAAGTAGTCTTCCAAGGGACCATGTCTAATTTTGATGTTAAGAGTCAGATTTTAAGCTTGGGTTTCAGGAGACCTGTTGAACCATGTTGAACCAGGAGTGGCGTTCAAATCAAGAAAGATTTGCACTTGCAGCCCACCTGGGCTGGTCTCGAGAGGTCTCAACGTTCCAAATGTCCGGAGCAGTTGGTTCTTGTTGAGCCTGTCAGTCTGAAGGTGAGGTGTTTTGAGGCGAATCATTCTGTTTGATGCCCAGCAAGATCGACCTACTTCCCCTGCTCTTCTAGAGGATGACTGGCCGCACAATCTGTGGCCACTGGCTTTTCAGATTCCAGAATCATCAGCGCTTTGTGGATCCAAGATAAGATCACCTCCAGAACCTATAACGCTCCTGTCTAAGAAGTATATAGCTTTTAGACCCACATTGGCACCCACCCCTGCATTTCCGTTTGACGTGGGCCAGGAGCCCAGGAAAACACCTACCCGCCTACCACCGCGCTCCGCGTTTGACCGTCCCAGTGACGGTGAGGTTTTGGCCGTCCAATGCTTGGACACGGCAGGACCGCGACACGCGGAGCTTCGTGTGGAGGAGGGCCTGAGGGATTTCGTGTCACAGGAGGATTCTTGTTTGACACTACCCGGAGTCTGGAGGTAGAAAAGAGATCAAAAGAGTGTTGGCCCATAGGAACATGGGAATCATCAAGCGATTCGTTAGGGATGATGGTTTTTAGATGATTCTAGTCTAGTCCATTCTATCCACCCCAAGTCTAAGCAAAGATTGCAACCGTTTCCAGTTTTCCTGTCCAAAAGAATCTATGATCAGAAGTACAGTATACAATTGAACTTCCAGGCCTTAAGTCTTTATCGGAGCATTGTCCCAAATGAATCAAATGAATGCTTATCATCTAACCGGTCTTTACCCCCTCGGGATGGAATAGGATGGATGGGGATGGTGAATCCGATCCTGCACTGTCTGGCACACCTTTGTAATATATATATATATTATATAGGTGTCTAACACATGATTGTCTGGCAGGTGTTGTTATTGTTTTTGTTTCTTATCGCATGACATACTTACACTTTGTACAGTCTCTAAACAAACTGATACTACTGGAAATCATGCACCATCCCATCACTCGTTCATGGCACCCCATGGGATATACCGTGACAGTCCGGACGAGCGGCGCTGAGACCGTGCCGGCGATGCGAGGCGTCGACGTCGACGTCCGGGGTTCGAGGCGCCGGGGGTCCGTCGCGTCGCTTGGGCGATGGCTTGAGCATAGATTGGGCGCTAGGTGTTATGCTATGGAATGCAGGTGATCCTAGCTTCCTGGTCTCCAAGATTGGGTGCTATTCTGGCTGTTGTTGCATGCTATGGAATGCCTTCGGATGCCTTTGGCTCCGAGGACTGTTATGTCCTCGAGCTCCTAGTTGATCAGACCTAGAAGTGACCGCTGCTATTGAGCATCCTTCTTTCTTCGATGGCGGTCTGCAGCATCTTTCTTTCCGGGTAAATTCCTTATTGCTTGTTCAATCCTTCTCAAAGGGGCAATGTGGAAGACCACACTCAGAGCGGCTGTATGATAGGAGAACCCTTTTGCCCAAGAATCCCGGTGGGAGACAACATGTACAGCTAAAACTCTGCTTGAAACTTGGGTTTTCCACGTCTTTTCCAAGTCGCTGCTCCATCCCAGTTACTGCTCCAATGACCATATTCGATTTGTCCTACACCGTGAACCAATGGCCAGAGCCCACGAGGTCGCTATAGCAGCACACCCGATGAGACGACGACGACCGCAAGGCGCGGCCAAGTGAGTGACCCCTTTTCTGGTGCACAGAACCGAAGAATTCATAGAGGGAGTGGAACGTGGTACCATACCATAGGGCCTATAGGGATCCAAGTACCTTCTCAGAAGGTGATTGGAGAGGGCCCAAGTACCTTCTGAGAAGGTATGTGGATTCCTAGGGATAATTAATATGCCCAAGTTCACGAACGGGCGTATTGAGTATTCCCCTCTATTGAATCAACCAAAGCAATGGTCAAAGGATGTCAAAGGCCATAGATGGGAAACACATAAGTGACCACGTGGATGCCCATGAAAAAGTCTGGAATCCCCTTCATTGGAAGTCTGCCAAACTTCCCGCCAGTTCTGTGGCCCAGTTGAACAATTCACTTCTCACCTGCCTTAACTCACCTCTCACCCGCCCAATAGTTTTTGGTGTCTTGCTGAGTGACTGAAGCCTTGCGTAGACGATCCGGCCGCCTTGGAAGGTTCAGCAGAAAGACTGGCAGCTGCTGCAGTTCCGCACAGAACGCCGTCGAATTGCGCGGCGCGCTGGCGTTGGACACGGCCAAATCAACTGGCCTGGCATCCGGGCTTAAACAAAAACATCAGGCGCAGAACATGACATAGTCCCTGGGCTCCAACCACCTCGTGAGAAGATGGTTATGGTGGGATATGGTGGGTGCCAGGGGGGTCTAAACCAAGGGGCTTGGCCGTAAACTTCTAAAATCCGATCCTGGGACACACACTAGACTCACCTAAAAGAGACCCGATCCTCTGACTCCCTCAGGGTCCCTTCAAAAAGAAGGGTTGGACACCTCTTTCGATCTGTTCGTAATTGAGTGGGAAAACCAATCCCCAAAAAGAGGTTGAAGGTTATCCACTAATCAACTGGGATCCTGAAACTCCACAGGCCATTCTGGTGGATCCCCGAGACAGGCGCCCCTTCTCGCCCCTTCTGCAAGGTGGGGGACCCATGGGCTGGTTGACCTAGTACATCCTGGTGCACCTGGGTCACCAATCGTCTGTGACGCAAATGTCGATCTGCTCGAAGGAAGTCCACGGCCGAACTCGACGCTGCACCGCTCGGTGGGTCGATTGAGATGATGCTTTGGGGGGTGCGTAGCTCAACAGCAAAACTCTCAACGCGGAGCTCAAAGAACACCTGGAAACAACATCTAAAAACCTTGAAAACACATAAAAACCTACTACAAAAACTGTATATATACATATATACACAATGTATATAACATCTACTCCCTTAGTTCCCACGTTCTACGTTGGGTCTTGTGAGGACGTCATCTGCAAGAAACAGTTTGATCGTCAGAAGATTCTCCAAGGCAAGCTTCTCAGCATGGCGTTGCAGCAAAGCCTCGGATGGGACCAAAATTTGCCATTGTTCCAGGCACACACTTGGTTATATATATATATGCTGTTTATAACGTGAGACACACTAGGGAAGCCAACAAACAGTTCTTGCTTCTCAAGATATGTCTGGAATTTTTGGAGACCCTGGAAGTTGAGCAGCCTTGTTCTGCTCAGGTTACTCGGCCAATTGTGCGGCCAATCAGTAGTTCCCTCCATACTCAGAATGACACATGTCTCACAGACTCCTGCTGAACGTTACTGAATTTCCGGGCAGGCAGCTGGACTTTGTCAACTACTCTTGTCAGGGAGGATACAGTAACACAACACACAAACAAAAACACTGGGTCATAGTATGTCATAGTCATAGTCATACATATATTACAGTAGTTGCTCTGTTCCTCTTCCCATTGATCCGGATCTCATCAAACTCCACTCCTTCGGATCAATTTAAACAACCACCACCACCACCACCACCACCAACAACAACAACAACACACTCCTCGGCGATGCGCAGGCGGAGTGAACACAATCCTGTCATCCTCACCTCCATCGATGTGGATCGCTCTTTGCAGAGTGATGTTCCGGTTTATGGTGGTTCCTTATTGCTGCTGAGCTACTTAGGACTTCGCCAAAACACAAACATAGACCCCAAACAGCTTCAAAACGATTCGTTTAGACCAATATTAATCAAAAATCGATTTCTTGGTACGCCCTACCTTCACCCCAAGAGCAAACTGCTTCATCAATGAATTTTTGTCGGCATTGACATCGCTATTTGTTCGGCCACACTCCTCTCCAGTAAGCCGGGCCAGAGACCAGCCACAGAGTTCAGGGGCGCGGCCAAGACAAGGACAAGACCCGGACACAGAGCCGGGCCACAGAGCCCAGCCACAGAGTTCAGGGACGCGGCCAAGACAATGACAAGAGGAGGACAAGAAGAGGACAAGGCCCAGCCAGAGAGCTGCGTGTCGAGTGCGCGAAATGCAGGCGAGAGTGCGATTTGTCCGGTGCCCGCGCAACCCTCTGCGGAGATTGTGCGCGTCGAGCGCGCGAAATGCAGGCGAGCACTGGCGAGTACGCGGAGTATCTGGGGAGCTGGAAGATGAAAACTGGTGACTTGGTAGTACAACTTTAGTACGCGGAGCAATCTGTGGAGCTGGAAGCTGAGAACTGGCGACCTTGTAGTACAACTTTAGTACGCGGAGCAATCTGTGGAGGTGGAAGGTGAGGTGAGAACTGGCGACCTTGTAGTACAACTTTAGTACGCGGAGTGTCCTGCAAGTGACCCACAAGAGTGTCCCACAAGAGTGTCTCACAAGAGTGTCCCACAAGAGTGTCCTACAAGAGTGTCCCACAAGAGTGTCCTACAAGACTGTCCCACAAGAGTGTTCCACAAGAGTGTCCTATAAGAGTGTCCCACAAGAGTGTCCTACAAGAGTGTCCCGCAAGAGTTTCCTACAAGAGCGACCCACAAGAGTGTCCTACAAGAGTGTCCCAGAAGAGTGTCCCTTAAGGTGTCCTACAGGAGTATCCCACACGAGTGTCCTACAAGAGTGTCCTACAAGAGTGTCCCGCAAGAGTTTCCTACAAGAGTGTCCCACAAGAGTGTTCCACAAGAGTG